CACAGCGAGCAATTGATTGCTAATAGTATTGTTGGAATTAAGTACAGATGAAATACATAAATAAAAAATTAATACAATTAAATTTATATGGCATGCAATTCACTATAATTTCAAAATTAACTTAAAATTCTTAACCTTTTCCATCAACATTTTTTAACTAAATTAAAATGTTTTTAAAATAACATGTACCCTTAGTAGATATTAATTTGATTTAATCTCAAAATGAGTATAGAAAAAAAAAATTAAAACAGCCCAAAATTATTACACATTGAACTTTTCTCCTTAAATGTAAAAATCCTTATCAAAAAAAACAAAAAATTATGAACTTGTTTAAAATTTTTTTTTATATTTTGTCAGTTTTTTGTGCAAAATTTTCGATAAAATTTAAACAAAAAAATAAGAAAACAGTAAGAGTAAAGAAAAATTGTTAATAAAAGCATACGAACAAACAAAATAACTTTTCTCAAAAAAAAAAAAAAAAAAGTAGATACTGGCAATACCACAAACAAAAGCAAACTGAGGTAATTGACATTCAGAACAGAAATAATGAGAAAATGAAAACGCCTTACGACGTGGCCGAATAAAAAAATAAAAACAGTATAAAATATACAAAGTTAGTATATTTACTTAAAACATATATGTATATGTACATATATATATATATTCAATAAGTAAAAACATTTCAGTAAATTTTAATCAAATACCCTTATAGTTAAGATAAATCGATTGCTTTAAACTATAAAAAGCATTAAAAACGTGCAGTATAAAAATAATGTTTTTTTGCTCGTTTATCGCTTGTATTTCTGCCAAAATATACTTAATCGAAATTCTTTTTACGAGCCTAACGCAATAAATTTTGGTTAGAATTTAAATTAGCACAATCAGATTGTTTTTTGTTTAAACAATTGAAATTGGCTACAATTTCAATTTGTAATTGAAAATTTTTTAATTTGTTAAATTTTAACTTTAGCATTTTGAAAATAAACTTAGAATTCAGTCTTAAAATAAATAGGTATTCAAACATAGAGAAAAAGTTAACTTTCGAACTGAAATTTGTAGCAAACTGTATTATGTGATTTTAATATAGAATTATTTAAAAAAATTATTATTAATAAGCAATAAAAAACTGGAAATTATTTCAAAAGTCAGATCAATATTCTTTTCATCTCTTCAATTTTCTCATGTTTCCATAAACAGGTTTTGAATTATTTTGTCTATTTTGAGCACAACGATTACAATAACAATTACTTATCGTATAACATGTAATTCTAAACTTGAATCAAATAAAATTTTTAGTAAACCTACATTTATGGATAAATTGGAAATTATAAGAATTTCCTTTGATTTAATTACTTTATTTCATAAATTTAAAATAATTACATAAATATACATACGTACATATGTACATATATTGATTTATTGGAATTAAAATTAGAGTTTATATAAGAATACCTTAATATTCTTATTTTGTTTCTTAAACATTAAAAAATTTTTGGTAGGCATGCTTGAATGAATTGAGTCTCATCTATTTATAATAAATTAGTAAAGCTCATTTAATTAAGTAATCTTTCAGTTCATAAAGAATTTCAAATGATTAATGCATTTAATTATATAATGATTATGTTAAAATATAATTCAAGTAATAATTAAATAAAAATATTTACAAATTAATTAGATTTTTCAAGTGTGGATCCAAAAAAAATGCAATGATCATTGATTTTACATATACTTGTACATGAATATAAATTTTAAATGCACTCCTAAAATTCTGGTTTAAATAATTAAAAAAAATTTATTTCACTTTTATCGCAATCTAAATAAAAAAATTCAATTCTTATTTAAACAGTAATGTTATGCTTACAATTGCATACAGCAGATACATATACACACATATAACATATATATACATATATACCTAATATATATATATGTATACCTTTTCTATACAATTGCGCCCACAAATTTTTACAAATTGAATTTATCAAAACTACTATATCAAATTATTGTACTATTCTTTAAGTTCTCGTTTTTTTTTTCAATTTCATTTCAAAAATCACAAATTGAGCTATATACTTACATACGTACTTAAAATGTTATAAATTATATTAAATAAGCTATGAATATAAGCAAACAAAACACCCGTTAAAGTAATCTTCAATAACCTCAAATAAATGTTTGTTCTTCTTCTTGATTTTACAAGCACCATTTATTAATACAATATATTACCCAACCACTAATTTTTTTAAATTTTCATCCGTATGCAATAAATATCTCATTAAAATAATTTCATTAAAATTAGTAATATTATGTAAATAAGCAATAATTGACACATTTTAAGTACATAATTAAGTATTTGAAATTTATAAATTCCATAAATTTTCAATAATCAGAATGTAACACATTCTTTAAAACAAACAAATACATATAATACCGGAAAGACAATTTAAGCACTTCATCATTTATTAATTTTACAGTAATACCCTGTTATAATAAACGAATTCGTAAAATTTCAAAAATAATAAAAATTATAACAATTTTGCTGTTAGGTAGATAAATAATATGATCGACATAAGTAAACCTAAAAAAAAAAGGGATAGTAAAAATATGGTCGGGGGTAGTTTCTAAATTAAACGTAGGTCGGTTGTATAATAGCGTAACTAATCTATAAATAAATGTACGTAAAATCCCCTTCAATTTTTACTTTTAATGGAAATATATTCACGTTTGGAATATGATGAAGGCTAATATTAATTAAAAAAAAAATTAAGAATATTCGAGCAAATTTTCTTTTAAATTTTACAAACCATGTATTAAAACCAGAAATGTATTAAATAATTAGTATTTACATGTGTAGGTTTAGCAATTTCAATTCCACAATCAAATTTTCTCTCATAGGTATTCTTTAATAATTTTTTTTATAACCGAGTATCACTGTATTGACAAACATCATCAAAAAATGTATAACACAAAAGAAAAAAAAGACCAAAATAAAATATACAATTCGTCCGTCTACTTAATTTGCTCACGACAATCGGTTGCCAATAATAATTTTATAATTTTTTTGCCTACGTATAACATAATTTTTTAGTTTTATTTTTCTTACTAGGTTAATTTTTTGTAAGATTTTCTTTCTCATTTTGATTACTTACTGTATTTTTTTTTTGTTTTTTTGCAAAAAGATAAGAGCGAAGAAAAATGCAAAAATTATGTTATTTTTTTATTTAAATCTACATTCAAAATATATATACTAACATATATGTATGTGTATATATGTACATATTTGCAAAACTTAAATTTTTTGAGTAAAAAACTTTTATATTTTTTTTGTAAAAACGAAATGCAAATTATTATATGGCAACCCCATTAAAAAATATGAAAAAAACGCTATATTTTATCATAAGTATGATAAAATATTTGAATGACGTCGCCGAAATTTTTTTTCCCAAAATCACATTATAACCTTAATTTCAATAATTTCATTTAATAATTCTAACAATTTATAAAATATACATACATAATATACATATACATACATGTACATATATACACATGTACAAAATTACACAATATTTATGTATAAGACTCAATTAAAAAATAAAAACTCAATCAATAAGATTAAAATTTCTAATTAAATTTATGACACATTTTTACAAATTCCATATTTACAAAATGTTGTGAGAAAAGAAAATTCTATTACTTAACTAAGTATATATGTATATACATTAATTATATACTTACTACCTTCAACAAGAAAATTAATCTCAATATTTTTGAAAATTTCATTTATAAAATAATAATTTTAAAATAAAAACAAAAATGGGCTACGAATGAGATTAAATTTGAAAAATGCATTGGATATTCTTTGATAGGCGATTTTAAAGTAATGGGAACATTATGCAACTCTATTGAATTTTCTAATGATATAATTTTAAATTTCAAAACTAGTTAAAAAGTGCGGCAATTAGCCTTATAATAAATTGCATTAAAAAAATATTTTATAGCGACAAACAAAAAATTAAAATCTCAAATTGAAAATTCTTTTATGATTTTTTTTTTTTTTATAAATGCCGGTCGCTTTTTTCTGTACATGCAAGTGATTAAATGTGTACGTTTTCAAGTACCTATTGATGTATGTATATGTAGGTACGTATGTAGGTACCTGTCGATATTTTTTTGTACCCCCCAAGATGAGAAAAAAGGAAACTTAATTATTGGCCATCTCCTTATTTTTATGCATGTATGTATGTATGTGTTTAGAAAAGAAATTTCGTTCTAGATTAAAAAAATTTTTAATTTTTCTTTCCATTTTTCTATATAACTACTGTATGTAATTAAAAGTTAATTAATTTTTTTAAGTATAGAGAATGATACCTATCTACCCTACCTAAATATTATTTCCTATTATAAACAGATGACATTATTATAAAAAATTTATTTTTCTACATTTCCAACAGAATTGATTTAAAAAAAAAAATGTTAGATATGAGAAAAAGATGTCTGCCAGTCATGTACACGATTAAAAAGAAAAAAAAAAGAAAAATTTTCTCAGTTCAGTTGTTTTTTTTTCTTCTTTTTTCTTTCTTTTCTTTTTTTTTGTTGTTGTATTCACCTCATTTCGATAAGTTCAAATCAGATTTCTGTTATAATAATACAGAAACAGAACGATGATATATATCCATATATACATATATAAAATACCAACATGCATACATATTTATACGAAATATAAAATAGATACATATATATATTTATATATGTATGTATGTATGAACGGATATAATATTATACTTGAATTTTACGACGAGGAGTTTGCTCATAAGATTTTTATAATATAATTTATCAAAAAGTATAAAATAAAAAAAAAAAGAGAAAAAAACCAAATCCAAATTTTATAATTCCCACGTTTAACACTAGGAGCCGGTAATTTTAAATTATTTGGAAAATCAATTTGAGACTTAAGAAAAATTAATCAAAATCAAAAGAAAAAATTTTTTTCTTACCTTTTTTCTATTTCCAAAATGTTGTTAGTTTTGCAGTTGGTAAAGGATGCGAGTTGAATTTTCTTTTCTCTTGACAAAATTTTGTAAGGAAATTTTTTTTTTTAATTTTTCCTTTTAATTTTTTTTTTGTTTTATTAATTGCTTTCTTGTATTTATTAAATATATTAATTATAATTTTTTTTTCTTTTATGAAATTTTTTAAAGAAAAGTAAATAAAAATGTTTTTCCTATTTATTTCTGTTTCATTTTTATTTTAATTTTTCTTTTTTTTTTTTAAATTCTTAAATTGGTACCTATTTAATTTTTTTTTTATTTTCAATAGTGCCTATATAGAATTTTATTGTCTGGCAAGTTTAGTTCACCACCAGCTGATGATATTTTAAATAAATACATATGAGCACACTTGCATATAATAATGTATGTATGTATATAGGTGGGCACAAAATTCTATACAAATTCATAGGATCCCCATATAAATTTTATGTGGATATACTCGTATATACATATATTGCCAACATATGAATAATTTGTATGTATGGATGTTTTTCTTTGGATGTACATATGTAACGTATGTACATATGAAAATTAATATAGAATTGATAAAAAAAATCTTGTTAAAAAACGAAGTTTTCTTAAATTTTTTCTTTCTGCTTCTTTTTTTTTTCTCTTGTGTACTAACTTTTACGTATGAATTAAAAAATAAAAAAAAAAATAAATTTAAAATGGAATTTTCACATTACGAAAACAATAAAATAAATTGTTTTTACTTCCACCGCTTTTTTTTTTTCTCCTTGCTTAGTTGGGAGACCTTTTGAAATTTTTTTTTTATCGGCGTAATCAAAAATTTCACGTTAAAAAAATATTTTTAATTTTTTGATTTCTAAAATTTTTTTCCGAATTTCTTACTTAATTTTTTTTTTCTGCTTTTTCTTTTTACCTAGTTATAAATGCTGTGTAGAAGAGGTGAAATAAGTGACGACTAAAAAATTTTTTCCAATTCCAAAAAAAAAAAAACTAAAAAATAAAAAAAAAATTCGAGCGCGTCACTTTTTCATTAAAATTTTTCGTATTAGATTTAACCGGATTTTTATAAAAATTACACCGTTTTATAGTTAAAATTTTCACGTTTTCAAAAACATAATTTTCATAAAATTTAATTAATTTTAAATATGATTTTTTTTAATGGGAAAAAAGTTAATTTGGTGCAAAAAAAATTTTTTTTTACTTTTTTTTTTTTCTTTTATATGTGTATATATGTATGAGAGGAGCAGTTGTCTCTGCTGTCTGGTTTTCACACAACGATGATAACCGCAAAGAAGTTTTCAATGCAAAATTTGACGAAAAATTTGTAATAGAATTAAAAGTATTGTTTGTAGTAGATGAATTGTCAATAAGTCATATAAAAAAGAATAACAAACAAATACATACAATAAAATAAATGTCAAATAAATGATTGAAGTTGAAAATGCATAAATGTATCAAATAGGGAAGGGGAAAAAAAATCAAGAAAAATTGTTATGAGCGGATGATAATAAAATAAAAGCAAAAAAAATGTGGGTGTATGTATGTATTGTAGTTTCAATATAATACTAAACTTGTCAAATATATTGTAATTATGTAAATTTACTATGTTTGAAAAATTTGAATCAATATTCTTATCTGTTTGAACATTCTACGTTAAAATACATATATCTGTTTCTAAATGACATTACTTGATAATTAATTGCTAATCTTAAATCAGTAACTTAATTTTACAAATAATATTAATGGATTTATAGATCTGTCAAATAAAATAAACTTTCAAAAACAAATGTTTTAAATGGGATTGTAGATTCTTGGCTAATCCTTAATTTAAGCTTGCAATGAGTTGAAAAAGATTAAATACGTTATTGTTGACAGTTGTCAAATATTATCCACTCTCTGGTTCATATTTCTTAACGTATATTATATTACCTTATATTACCCTTATATTTTTTTTAAAAATTATGTATTTATTAGAGCATATTACTTATATTATATAATAAAGCACAGAAATACGTATATGTGTGTCTAGTGAATAGTACATATAATGCACAGGATAGGACTGACGCTTGACAAGTTGAACAGATTTTTCTTTGAATGAAATAAGCGCGCGCTTATATTAAATAGTATTTCCCCAAAAAAAAAAAAAACAAAAAAAAATATCTTATCATATACTTTTACCACCTTCTATCTTAAATATAAAAGCATATGAGTTAAAAAAGGAAGCAATATTTTAAAGAATTAAATTATGCCGTAGTAGATTTCTTTGTAGTAGAATATTGCAACAATTTGGTTTTTAGAATTTTGGATATATAAAATTTTATTCCTGTTGATAATAATTTGACATTAGTTTTAACTATATTCAAAATGCTTACATATAAGGGTCAAAAATATTTTTCAAGGTTGGGGTATTTCTTTTTGAAACCAATAGTATTGGAAGTGAGTAATTAAGCAACAATTGAAAGTTTGAAATCCACATCCAATTACGTTTAGTCCTTTATTTTAAACAGATAATTACAAAATCGTAACTCACATAATAGTGAAATTTCTGGTTAGCGATGAAATACAGCTACACATAAATGCATAACAACATTATTATTGTAATTTTGACAGCACCCAACTAATAGCGTAACTGCATTTATATAATAAATTATACATGCATAATTATTTTACCTGCTTTGGGCTAGCAACAAATGTCAGACCATGTCTGCCTGTACTATGTTCTGCCACCCTATATTTACATACAAGATTGTTTCTACTTAGAATACGAAGAGGAACAGTGGAATTTGATTTTCAAATTTTTTCACACTTCACAAATTTTTACATTTAAGACTTAGATTTAGTAATCACATTTCCCGCTACACGGGCTCAAGCCGATATTATAGTTATCTTATTATTTTATTTAATTTATTGTTATTTAATTTAACCATATTGTATTTATTCTTTGCAATTTATTATAAATTGCTAAAAATTAAATATTATTAAAAAACAATAAAGAAAAAAAGAAAATAGAGCAATTTAAAAAGAATATAAAATTCCCATGTCCATCAAATTGCATTTTATTATGATTTACTTTTTTTTGCAATTTTTGCGTACATTACAAATGTATGTATGTAACACTGTTTTAAATAATCTTTTATTTGACATTTTGTGCATAACAATAAATTTGAAAGGAAATTTTTAAAAAATTTCTCATTACAAACTTTCTCAACCCCTAAATATGCACACTTAATACCTTTTCTCTTTGTTTTTTTTTTTTTTTTTGCAAAATAGTCATGTTACCTGGGATAACGGTTCCCTAAAATAAATTACAATTAAATCATAATAAAATTTATGTACATAGATGTAAATATGTGCGTATGTATGTATAACGGTATTATGTATATTAATATACCGTTGCTATTTTTATAATTTTATTGAAATTTTGAGTATAAATTGTAAATTATTTTAAGATTTATTATAGTTATATTGGTATAATGCTCTCTATATTTAATTGCAAAATAAATCGAAGGGTTCGATCTAAAGTTTTCAAATGTAAAAAAAAATAACAGAATAAAATAAATTAAAACGAGATCACCAAACAATTGGTATAGCGTAACATTTTTCTTCAAAAAGAAAATTGAAAAATTTCTACCATAAAAAATTTTATAAAATGCATTTTATGTAGAAAAACTCTAGTAACTTAACAGTAAATATTAAATCAAAATTTTTTAGGCTTCTGTATTAATTAATTATATGAATTTTAATTAATGAGTAAAAGGAAATTTATTTAATTAGAAACACAAACTTAGATGAAATGAGCCTTCTAAGGAGGAAAGGTAATTTTTACTTCTAAAATTGTGATGTAACCATAACAAGATTAAGCAAGTTAAATTCTAATTTTTTGAAAATATTTAAAGTTTATTACATGCGCAAGCCATTATTCCATCCGATAAAATCTTATTAAGGCATGGCTAATAAAAAATAGAAATGTTTCTTACAAAGTTCTCGTAAAATCCTTTTTTGGAAGATTTAATGAAATAAATGCTGATTTACTACTACCATAATTATACAAATATAAAAGAATAATCTAGAAAATATTTTAATAAAATATTATTAAAAATTGTCTGTGTGTGATTTTGTCTGAATGCTGAAAAGTTTGGAAGACAAGTTTCTAATTTAAATACTATTAAAAAAGAGTAAATAATGTTATCGTTAATTAATTATGAAAATTCAGAATATTTTCTATGATCTAGCTGCATTTAATAAGTAATAAAATTTTCAATACATAAATTTGTAAAAATGTGAAATAACTTTTCGTTTCACAGAAAAATTTGCATTTATTTTTCATTTTGATTTGGTTGAGTTCATATTTGCAGCATTTACCAACTCAGGTCTTACGTACATAAAACTCAAGTTCGAAAGACAAAATTTATTTGTTTTTCATTCAAGTTTTGCTAAAAGTATACATAAAATATTTATTTATATCAATAAATAATCATTTATATTAATTTTATTTGTCATTTATTTTAATAATATTAACTTGTAAATCAAAAAGTTATTCTAAATATTTTAAAGGCAATATTTATTTCATATTTCAATCATATGCACAATCATTTATTTCATATGAACAATCAGAAAAGATTGCTGCTAATTATGCATTTAAAACGTTTACAGGGTGAGAAGTTGTATTTCATGGAACTTTATTTTGCGTTTATGTATGTGCATATGTGCATGCATATATTATATAAGTTAAATAGGCCGCATAAGTCATCTCTATATTGAAATACAATATTTGACATCATTTTCGTTAAAATTCTATATTTTAAATAGAATAAAGGTGTTATAAATACTTTGGCATATTCAGTACAGGTAATAACTATAAGAGATAATGCTTTACAAGTATTCTTCTTTTATATGATTATTTGTATGCTTATATAGGGTACCCATCCTTACTTATCCATAATGAAACAAGAATTAAAAAATTCATTAATCTAAAATATGAAATTTTTAAGTCTGATACTTTTATGCTCATAGCAAAATTTCAATTATAAAATTTTATACATGAAGCTTGGGAAATAAAAAAAGAAAAAAAAATATTTTTATAAGTTAAAACGCGTTCAATTTTAGATTCTATCAGTAAATAAGAATTAATTGCAATTTGCATAATATTTAGGGATGCATTTAAAAATTTTATTTGTACATAATGGCAAAACAGTTGCAAAATATAATAAGAAGAAGTAAAAAAAAATGAACAAAAATCTATGACGTGTAACCAGTTTTCTCTATATATATTGTATAAAATTTCCCTAATGAAATCCCAAAGGATATTATTTAGTACATACAATTACAATAATATTATACATGAAATCATTTTTACATTTTATAATTTAAAATATAAAAACTTTTTCAGAAATATTTACACGCTTTACTGGACATTCTCATCTTGCAAAATCAAAAAATTAAAAATCTTCTCTATACAATCAAACAAATAAATAAGCAAAGAAAAAAAAAAACCAAAATATCTCCAAAAAAAATCAAGAAAAAATTTAAATCCTTTATTGCCTTCGTCAAAGAGGACAAAAACATTGAAATGCATTTCATTCAAATTAAATCCCATTCTTATTTTCTTTGTACACTTACATGTTTTCCTTACAGGATCATCCAGTTTCATCTAAAAAAAAAAAACAATATTAAGCAAAACGCATTAAAAATGCAAAAAATAACAAAAAAAATAATAAAAATCATTAAAAAAATATTACTTATCACAAAAAAAAAAAAATTTGCAGAACAACTTCTCTATTGACTGCATTAAAATGACTCTTTCATATTTTAAATATCCTTATTTTTACTTCATTATCCTTGTAAAACTTGTAAATATTCTTTGAATACACAGTGATAGAGAAAAAAATATATTTTCAATATAACTTTATCGATTATCGTGATTCTTTTCGATAATATTATGGGATATTTTAGACAAGATGCTTTTAATATTTTACGGAATAATTTACGGTATACCTGACACACAAATTACATCCTCATCTAATGGTGAAATGAAAATAGTGCTGAAAAATGGTTACTCTCACAGTCTCACCTAATGGTGAAAGCAAGTATTACTTTTGAATAGTATAACATGAATACGAGAAATATATATACTTATATGTGGCAATAAAGAAAATTCAAATAAGAGTAGACAAAAAGAACACTTCAATTTTTGCTAATATAAATTTTTTGCATAACATAAACACTTCATCCACACTGATGTGCTAATGAGATGAACTGATCAGAATATTTAAAAATATTCTGATTTTATTTAATATAACTGGAATCTCTATTTTCTCCTATTAGGTAAATTAA